AGTTCTCAAATGCCTGGCAAGATCCCTGTGGCTCAAAGGGAGCTTCAGGCTAGGTTCTTGGCTGAGGAGAGCTAGCTGGTAAGCTGGGCACAGGTAGTGTGCTATGGTCTATGGGAGAGGAACAAATACAGTGAGACTGATTCTAGTGGGAGAAGTTGGGCAAGAACTTGAAAGGGAGGGATTTATATTCAAGTTGGCTTGAGGGACAGGCTAGGTCTTTACTCTAATGTATTAAATAAACATTGACTTATTCATTTAGTCATAAGTATTTCTTGAGTATATGCTACATATCAGGCTGTAATACCAGGTTGCGTTGAAAGACATTTACTGGTTTTTGCACTAGTCGTTGGCCAGGTAACCAGAGTACTGGATCGGCAACCTGTGTTTAGACCCAGCTTCTGCCATGCACTAATCGTGAGACCTTGCGTTAGGCCTCTTGTCTTCCGCATGCCCAGTTTCACAGTTGGAAAGCATATATGAGACGTTCTAAGAGAGACCCAACTGACAGCCTGATCCAGAGAGTTCGTGTGAGTGATCGGGTAGAAGAGAAGATAGTGACAGAGGGGTCAGTTAGGGCGTGACGGCAAGAGCTCCTGTAAGACGGTCTGAGTCTGGTATTCATTCAACAACATCTCCGTACTTCATGCCGTCTACTGTAGTAAGAACAAATAAGGATCAAAATCACCTCCCTATTCTCAAGGCACTTATTCAGGTGGGAAATGCATGGGGAGCACAGTGACAGATCCAGAGATGTCACTGAATCTCATCACATGAGATGGTCATTGGGACTGCACACGTGTATGAAGTACCAAGAGAGAAAAAGCAAAGGGTTGCGCAGACAGAGTTCTCAGGACACAGAACCTGGGGAGATGTTCTGGGGAGATAATCGGTCTTCCACTCCTTGAGAGGTTTGTGTTCTTCCTTGCACCAACACAACAAATCCAACCTCAACCCAAACCCAAAATATGTTCTGGTGGCAAAAAAGCTAGGGCTTACTAACGAGGGAATGTTTGTTTAGACCTCCAGTTCTCCTTGGCTACATCACTCCTGTGTATGAAACAAAGTCATACCGGAGCCACATGTGGTTTGTATAATAGCTGGTCTATTTGGTTTCCTCCAAAGGTCTTAATAAGTACGAGTGGTGCATAAAACATGGCGTAAGTGGCTGCTCAAGCTGCTGCTCTTCAAATCTTTCCCCAGACCAGCTGACTCTTTTTTCCTTTTCTTCCCCTCTTTTGCCATTTCCCCACACAGCTGGAGCACATCCTGACACGGACTCTGAGAGCCTCAAGTCAAGCGCTTCCTTATTTACCCTTCAGTAATTACATATCAAGCAAGTTGTTGTCCCTATTGGAGGCTGAGACTGAACAATTAGTCTCCCATTGTCTTTGCAGGAAATGACATCCGTGTGACTTTTGGGGAAGGCGACTGATGATCACCCCGGTTAAAATAATGTGCAGCATTTTCTCTGGTTGGCCATTGAGACTGGCTGATACAGAAAGCTTTTTGGAAATGTGCAGATGAACCGTGGTTGTCAGGACCGGAAATACGACTGGGTCAGTTCCCAGAACAAGAGAGTCCAAACTGTTCTGGTCTCTTTATGCTTTGCCTTGTCTAGACTCTTCAGCATGAGGCTGAGGCCAGGATTTCTTTTCTTTTTATAATATTTCACTAGTGGCTGAGAATCAGAATGATTCTCAGCTGCAGATAACTGAAAGCCCAACTCAAGGAGACCTAAACGTAAGAAATGTGTGGGTAGCACAGACCTCAGGGTGAGCTTCACACAGTGAGCTGCGCCCTGCGTCCCTGTGTTTTTCCCATCTGGAACCAGCTTGAGCTTTAGGCTGGGGCAAGGCAGCCGTGAGAGTCCTAGATGTCACATGCCACAGCACTTTTTTAGGAAGATGAGAAGCTTCCAGCAAAACATTATTCACATCTCATTGGCTTAAAGGGAGCCAGATGCTGATGTTTGTACCAATCATTGGCAAGAAAAATGGGTTTGCCTTGGGTCACAGCCTCGGCAACTTCAGTGTAGACACAGATTCCCTGGCAGATTTGTAGATTGATTTGGGAAAGGGAACTCGAGAGCATTTTAAGATGTTCACTAGTAATGCTAATCCTGCAGCCTGGCACATTGCAAAGCGTAGACCATCCAGGTCCCCACCCCTCAGCTGAGAGCACTGCCATCTGCTCTGGAGGAGTATCTGGAGAAGACTGGGGCTCTGCTGGAAAGAAGTAATGACCCCCCCCAGGGGTGAGAGCAGTGTTAGAGAAACTTGTTCCCAGCGTCTTAGGAGAGAGCAGGCACACACAACAGTCTGTGCTGTGTTAGAAGCAAAAAGTACATGCAGAGCTCCATGTTGTTGTATGGAAGCGCCGATAAACATCTTGTTACACACTGGTGACAGTGTAGATATTGTAATTCTAAAAATAGACTATTCATTTATCATTCAGTTATTTTATTAGTAATTAGTGCCATGTATATCTGGTATGTCTCAAAAAGAACAAACAAAGTGAATCTAAGAATCCATCAGTACAAAAAGAGCATTATAGCAGCCGCACGGCACATGTCTGAAATCCCAGTCTCTAGGAGGCTGAGGCAGGATCACAAATCTGAGCCCAGCTTGGGCAGCTTAAAGACTTAACAAGATTCTATCTATGGCTAAGGATCTAGCTCAGGGCAGAGATTTTCCCAATACAAGGAAAGAAGGAAGGGAAGAAGGAGGAGGAAGGGAAAGCAAAGTCCAACCTTTGTTCAAGTGCGTGGCTCAGTGTTAGGTAGTTAGTAGGGAGGGACAATACACTCCCACCTACCCTCAGAGTCACCTTGATACAGGAGAACGAAATCCCCAACCTACTATATGTCTGGTACGAGTTTGTGTTCTCTAAAATCAGAGAATGAATTTTAGAAACAATGGAGATTAAGAGCAGAATATGTTTATTGAGAGAAAGAAAGCTTCTGTCTGAGAGACAGAAGGGGTCCACAAGGTGAGATGGGGCCAAGGTGGGGAAAAGTGTGGGAACTCGCAAGGTGGGCATAAGGCGGGACAGAACTGTGATCAACCAGTAAGATTAATTGCTCAGGTAAAATGGACTAAGTCGGGGACACATAGGAAGCAGTCAGGGAGGAACTGTTACTGTAGGGGGTTGGAATAGTGACTTCTGGCTTCTTTGGGTGATAGAGACCTGTTTAGAATATCAGTCCTTAGGAGGCAGGTGCATTTGTTTGAGCTTTTGTCTTAGGCCTGGCTCACAGCAGGAGGTATATGTCTCTCCGACAGTTGCAAGGTATCTGGCCTTCTGCACTGGCTCCTTTGAGGACCTAGCCCTGTCTCACTGCCTATAATATCTCTTTCTAGCTCAGTTGCCTGTAACGACTTGACATGTTGTCCCATGAGAAAAATGCTGCCAGTGGTGAATTTCTGGCAAAGCAAATAGTTGCAATGTTCTGATGAGTGGTTTTCAATGGAGAAAATCATTTGAAAACGAAGAACTATGTGTTTTGTTTTGTTTTAAGGAAAGACACTTAATCCTGAGCTGCACTGGGATGGTGGAAAAATGAAAAGAAAAAAAAAGTGTGTGTGTATATATACATAAAAGATAGCTAAAGTAATTATAGTACAAATTTCTCTTAATTCATTGAAAAGAATTGTTTATGCTTGCATGAATTTGTCATTTTTTCTTGCCTATGTCTTGTAATCTGAGCAACTATTTCGAAGATAACAAAATATAATATATTAACCCTTGTTAATTTATTATCTTGTTAGGAAATTCTGTATCTTTTTTTTCTTTCTTTTAATTTTTTATTTTGTATTTTTTGGTACTGGGGATCAAACTCACGACGTTGCACTTGCCAGGCAGGCGCTTACACCACTGAGCTAAATCTTACCCTGCCCTGCTTTTTTCTAAAAAAAAAAAAACAAAACAAACAAACAAAAAAAAAGCCCTGGGTGCAGCAATTTAGGAAACAGTGTGAGACAGTCCAGGGTCCGCCTGAAGGCTGGTCCAGTGCAGACTGCAGAGGGCTCGTAGTGAAGCCCATGGCCAGTTTGGAAAGTAGACCTCTGGGAGAGTCGCTTTGGTGGCTGCTATCTCTGACTTCTTACACAAACACAGCATCATTTGAGAGTGTACTGGGAGGGAGAGGTGGACTTTTACAAGGCCACCTGTTTAACCCACCTGTCCCAGAACCTTAGGTGCACACCTGTGAGAAGTGACCACATCTCTGTCTGTCTGAAGGAACTCAAACTGGCCTCGGTAACTCGGATCCACACAGGGACCGCTGCCTGTTCCTTAGTGTCTGTGCGGAGGCCCTGGAAGATGAGGGTCCCCAACTACTCAGGACTAATGGGCGTGGGCGAGATTCAGTGCTCCAAGAAGACAAGAATTGTGCTTGTGTCACACAAGATCTGTGTGTGTGTATGCGCGTGCCCGTGTGTGCACACGTTTGTGTAATGACTGAACAGCTGGCATTCACTTTCTGAAGAGAAGTAGAAGAGCATATTATTTGTTGCCTAACTTCAGTCATTAATAATCTAAGTAAAGAATGTTAAGGGGTCATCTGCATTCTAAGGACCTTATAAGCTGCCAAAGAGAAATGAGATAATATTAATATTAGCCAAGCTTGGATCTCAGAGCTGGAGAGGGGGAGGATGTTACTGGGAAAAAAAACAGAGAATTGCTTTGGGGGTGAAATATTATGAGTTCAATTTTAAATGCTTTTCCATTGTTCTCTTGTCTTTGATTATTTTAGCGTTTAAAATACAAAATATTTGTAAGCACATTTTCTGGTTTATTTTACTTCTTTTTTTCCCCTATAAGTATGTACTGAGGGTATTTGTAAGTTGGTTTCATCTTCCCATGAAAATCAAAGAGAAAACTGCTAGGTGAGTGTGATGTATCAGAGAGCACCCAAAACCGAAGCAGTCCCAGAGAAGAAGCGCACTTGGTGTTACAGTATGCCTTATTAAATGAGTTTCTTTTGTTACGTTGTTTTTCAGGACCAGTCCTGCCGCTGTTTCAGAAGACATGTGGTGCATATAAAGTTTGTGGTAGTTGGAGGAAATTTTAGTAAGTGGTGCTGCCTTTATTTCTAATACATTTCGCTGTTAAGACGATGTTCATGAAGGAAAGCCATTGCCTGTTCTGTACACTTTTCAAATCTGCACTAACTTGAGAAAGAATGGAAGTTTTAATTGAATGTAACACTGCATTGCTGTTTCCTGGCAGTATTTTTTCCCCCATTATTACGAATGTTATTAACAAGTCTTTGGCAGTTTAGTTTATGTTCTCTGGAATACAAGTAATACACTTTCACACCAGAATAAAACAGTTGCCAAAGCAGGGAGACACATATATTGAAATGAGGCATTGCTTACTGAACGGGGAATTAAAGGAGGTGAAGAATGCATCGTGCCTGGGAGTGAACTCACAGTCACTGTGATAACAGCCTCGAGGGTCTGAGAACATTCAGTTCAGTAACCGCTCACACCTCGCCTGCAGAAATAAAGAGGACAGCCTTTAGGGTCAAGACCCGAGGGATAAAATGTAGCTTCTGCACCTACTGGTTTTCTGTACCCTCTCTGAGTTTCTGTTTCCTTTTCTATAAACTGAAGGCCTTTAATGTTACCTGCCTCGTGCAGTTTATATGAGAAAATGAGCTGGGCAGGGCTGGGGCATGGTGGATGCTCAGCATTGTGAGATTCTTCATGACAGCAGCCTTGTTTGGAGCCTGGACATTCACCTCACAGGATAAGCCACCTGAAATGTGCGTCTCCCAGCATAAGGGCTGTTGAGAAGAGTCGGTCATAGCTGGGCATTCCAGCTGCACATCACGGTTCTGCTCTGGTGACCAGTCCACAGTGAGCAGGGGAACCTCTGTAACATGTGCCTTCTCCTGCCTCCCTGGTGACCCATTCTCAGACAAGCTGGTCTTGTTGAAGTCCTCTTCCTGTTAACTTTGTGATCAAGTGAAACCACATTGTTCAAGTTCTTCAGTTTTTTCAGTTAATGTTATGGTGAACTAAATTTACAAGAAGAACAAGGGATCTTAGGGTAGCTAACACTCTTGGTTTGTACCTCAGTTGCCATGTTTAGGCTTTCATTTTTAAGTCGTCTCTTTTTGGTCTGTGTTTATTATGTAGTTTGACAAAGATCCAATTTTTGAACCGACAGTGTCTGGTTTGGACCAACAGAGTTTAGCTCCGAGGTGGGGTTTTTACTTGCAGTGGAGAATAACCAACTGTGTCACACTGATTGGGCTGATGTTTAAGGTCCTGGGCGGTGGGTGACCACATCCTGGTTTTATGTATCCGAGGAGGTGGACATGATCTCAGGAAGTACCTGATCCAATTTCTTATTTCCCTGATTTGACCATTACACATGCATTGAATTGCCATCCTATAGCCCATGTAGGTATATATTTTGTCTCAATGAAAATTAAACGATTAGGGAACACAGGGATTGAGTGTGGAGGTACTGGGATTTAAGTGCTCTACCATTGAGCGACATCCCTAGCTCAACAGGGAAATGATTTAGAGCACTGGTAAAATTGTACCATATCTTAATTATGATGTGGTAGGTGTGCAACTATGCATTTGTGAAAAACTCAGAAAACTATACATTAGGAAGGGTTAATTTTGCAGCATACAAATTAAACCTTAATTTTTAAAATGGAAAAAAATGAACTGTTAGACAAATAACTATCCAAGTGTCTCAACTTGATAAGGAGAAAAGAAAGAAAGGAGGCTGGGAGAAGGAATAACAATCCAGTATTTAGATTGGACTACAGTGTTTGCTATATGGGACGAGGCCTTGGTCTTGTCCCTTTCTGTTGTCACAGCGCCTGGCACATCAAAGGAATGTGGCAAATACTCAAGTATTTGTTGAATCACATATTGCTCTTTAGTCTTATCTTTTCTTATTACTGCATTAGGGATTGAACCCATGGCCTTTACACTGAACTACAGCCCCAGCCCTTTTTTATTCTTTATTTGCTGAGTTGCCCAGGCTGGGCTCAAACTTTGATCCTACTTCAGCCTCCCAGGAGTGGTGGGATGATTGGCAGGCACCAGCACACCTGGCTTCCCAGACACTAGCCCACTGGGTATTTAGACATACTCCTTCCTTGTTCACCATCTCTTCTCCAGACTGAACTTCCTGTCTCTTGTTCTTGAGCTCTTTGTCCTTTGATGTTATTTCCACATCTTTCCCCATTCCATGGAGTCCCTTGAGGAGGAACTTCCCCAGCCCATCCCTGCGTTTGACCAGCACAGAACCTAACACTTCATGGGGTCTGGCACAGACGCATTGCCTATGTGGGTGAGATTACTGGATGCCCAACCCTAACCCTCCTGGGTCACTCTCAGTACTGGGCACTAGCCATGGATCGCCAAAGAGTTTTGCCAGACATTCTTGGAGCAGAGCTCCTGGAGGGACGAAGGGTGGCAGCTCAGGAGACATCATCAGTGTCCTGAGCGAAGTGACGCAGACCGAGGAACCCTGAGTTGGACACTGCAGTCATGTTGTTTGTACCGCTTTTGAGGTGGTAATGTGTCCCAGATCCTGATTCTTACCGCAAATCTGGGGAAGTTCGAAATTTTTAAAACTAAACTTCTGGGTGCCTTGAAAAATGCAAATCTACCCCCAGCCCTTCATGTCACAGATGAGGTATAAGTACATATGTAGCAGTGATTCTCAGATCCATTTGCCTTCCCAAAGGATATTTGATAGTGTCTGAAGTCGTCTTGTGTGGTCGTAATTCGGGGAAGGAGAGTAGTACTAGCAGAGTACATCTGGTAGGAGGAAGCCCTCCGGTGTATAGAGCAGCAGTGCATGCACACACATAAGCACACATGCACAGAGCAGACCATCCCAGCATATCAGTAGGACTGAGGCTGAGACACTGACATTGGAAGTAATTAAGTCTGAATGCCAGTGCTCATTGTTTTAAAGTTTAAGCATTAAGTATTTTAACAATTATATATAAACTTGTAAAAATAAATGTGTTCAGGGTTCGTAAAAAGCTACCTCTTCCATTGACTCCAAGCAGAAATTCACCTAAGTGAATTCAGATAGAGAGTCGGGCCTTGGGGCTTGCACTGAAAACTGGACCCTAAAAATAAGAGGAAGATCACACATGATCCCTGCGTTCACATAAAAGAGGTTGTCTTGTGCTTTACACCTCAGCTCCAGCTTCTTCAGATGTGTTTGTCTTAAGATGACCTCAGAGATAAAGTAATATTTCAAGCCTGGACTGGTCCTTCCTTTTGAATCAAGGGTAGTGATTCTGGTGTGATGAAAATGTTCTCAGGGAGAACAGTGATCTCATTACAAATGATTGAGATAGGGTATTTTGATACGCAGGACTGTTTATTTATATCAGTTTGCTAGTGACACCACAATCCAATTTAAATGTGAGTAGTGCAGAGCTTTCGTAGCCCAGCAGGGCTACATGTGCTGAAGCAAGTAGATTAAAGCAATGTATGTCAAGTTGTGATACAGAACAATCCACTTGAAAAGACTTTACTTAATTATAGGGCCTGTTTTGGGAGTGTAACTCTTTCTCGTGAGGAATATTTTGGGATATTCTAAACCAGCTTCTAGGCCAGTAATACCTTCCCAGGAAGGGTGTGGCAGGTGCTGTGGACGTAAGTGCTTTCTTACCAACAGCTGTGCTACAATCCTCTTTTGGCTTCACTGTCTTAGTTTTCTTTTTCTGGTAGTCTTTCCTCTTTCAAGAATGCCATGAAACTGTGTTCTGGAAAGCTTGAGAAGAGGAAGGTGAAAGATACCATTTCAGGTGGCAAGGACTTAGGGACTTTACATTACCAATCTGTTGTTTTTCCAAATAGAAGACATTTGGAGGAATGTACCAAAGTTGAGTAGGTAAAGAGACTTAAATGACTCCTCGGTGACATTAGATCTTGTTGTGTCTGTGGAGACATATCTAACTAGTCGCCTGCACCCTCCAGCCTTTGGGTGACACTCACTGGGCCACTTTTCCCAACAGCTCATGATCCAAAGCAGGTCTGCTTTCCCTTCTTTTCTTCAAGACACGTGTGTCCCTTCACCTGCTCTGGCTCCTTGGTCCCAGCTTGCTGTGGCAACCTTTACTTCTTGGTTCAGATCTCAAGCTTTGGACCTTAAGGGGAAAGAGATCAGAGCCTCCTGCCTGTCAATATTTTCTGGGTCTCATTTAAAAGCCAATGCTAAAGGAAAAATCACGTCAGCACGATGATACTAGCTTCTCACTGACAGTTTGGGAGCAGGGGGAACAGAGATAAAGAGCTAAGACAGGGAGCTTTTCTCCCTGAAAACCCAACCAGATCTAAGGGCAGGAGAAACACCCTCAACCTGAGTTATGCAGGCCACTTGCTTCTAGAGAAGCCTCTGGAAGGATGTCCAGGAGTCTCCTAGAGAGCAGCCCGTGCCCCTGGATCAGAGCTGCCCAAAGGCTCCGTCAGAAGTGCGGCTCCCTCCAGGCCCACGGCAGCTGACAGAACCAGAACCCTGCCACAGGTGTCTTCCTGCTAAACAGGCTGTCCCTGTGGGTGTGAGCGCTGAACTGTGAGTTCCTGCTCCGCTCTCCATCCTTGGCATTTGTTCAGAACGTACAGTTCCACAGGAGGTTGTATGCCATGGTCTGGTGCAACCTCTAAGACTCTCTCAAAAGTGTAAAGAAGATGTCCCTAATGGAGGTTATTTTAAAAGTCAGCTCTGTCCACAAGAGGGACAGGAGCATTGTCCTCTGTATTATTTTGTAATCTTGATCCCTAACGTCATCCCACAATCCTTTTACCACTTGCTCACCAAGAAAAATGACATTTTTTACATGATAGTTTGGACAACATCCGAAACCAGATTCTGCAGGGCTGCTGAGAGGCTGACATTCTGCTCCCTTGTAGCCCATGTCACTGCCATCTGCCTCACTCTAAAACCCACTGTGGTGTGGCTTTAATCTGTAGCAACACTTATAAAACAAAATCTCCCACTTTATATTAAGGAGAAACATAGTCAGAGATGACCTGGGCATAGCTTGAGTGCAGTGTGCACAGGTATGTTGGTGGCTG